TTTAGTGAAGCGTATGACTCTTAAGTAGAGATATCGTATATCATACGAATTAAGATCTTAACCTAACTTGATTTTACCTTCTGGAATTATGAATTGTTGGTATGATCGGTCCTTACTAAGAATGATTGTATTACAACCATTTGAAAGTGAAAGAGCCAACTGTAGGAATCTCACTTCAAGCAGCCGATGTGTTGTATGTGTGTGGTTGTATTCCGCATAGAACTAATTGTTTTGTAAAAAAAGATAAGAGCGAAGAGCTGTTGCCTATGCATATATCATGATTAGTGATCAAATATTATCTTTTTATTTCCTTTTTTAAACATATTATAACAAGATTTACCATCAACAAGGAGGGACCCTTAAAAGCATGAATATCAAGTCATTTTGTTAAGTTTTTTATTTATTTTCTGAACCATTTGACACCAATATTGAATTTCCACGAAGTTTCAAACCTACCAACTAAGGTTTGACCCATCATCTTCCTCTGTGCTGAAAAATTCTCATCTTCAAGACTCATCGGACCAGGGAAGGTTCTGCTCTCTCGTCCCTTTCAACCAGCGCTTCAAGGAACCTTCATACCGTAAACTTCAACCAAATAAAAAGAACAAAAATATTTAAAAATAGTTTCAGACTCTTCAAACTCTGAACTTATTATTCTATTACTCTTCGAGGCAGAGACGTTATATAATCTGCCTTAAAATAATGCATTCTGAAACTGAAATGTAGGTCAGTGTACGGCAGCTCATCTTTTCTTAAGATTTTCCCACTAAATTATTCCAATCAAGCAACAACTCAATCAGAGACTTTGTCCATTTGTAAGCTTTTAAACAACGGATCTCCGTGCGGCATCTCTGCATATACCTCTCTGTCTTTTGAAACATTGGTTACAATTACAATAGTTTTGAGCAGAAAAGGATTTCCTTTTGGTTTCTTCTGCAATTAGATCCAATTTGAGTTGTGCCCAATTGACCCAAAAGAATGTCTAAGAATGTCGAGCAACGCATTGTCAGCGGTCAGAAGACTCAGAGTGGTTAAAAAGTTCACTCTTGCATCTCAAGCTTTCTCATTCCCCAGACCCACAGAGCTCAGCTTGTTTCAGTCCTGTGGCAAGCCATAAAAGGTATGAATTTAAAACCTTTTACTATCTGGGTTTCGCTTGTTTCTCAATCTCAATCTTTTCTCATCCCCAACCCCACAGCCTCAGCTTGTTTCAGCTTTGTGTGTTTCTAGAGTGCGGATTTCAGTAAACTGGTATAGCTATACAGTATGAATTAATGACATGTTCATTAATTCATAATCATAATCAAAATAAAGAGTTGGATTTTGATTACGGATTACTCTTCATTCGATTACGGATTAGTAAACATGCCATAAGACTTTTACCATCTTGGTTTTGTGTGGTTTAAAGTAGGTTCAAATATTAACTAATTTCTTTATTATTCTGCACCATTATAGCAATGGATCTATGGTTTCATACTTTGATTTAAATGAATTAAATCATGGGTACTATGGTTTAGATTTATGGGTATTTTAGATGTGATCTGCACCGTTAAAATGGATTTATGTCTTGGGATTCGTGTCATGATTTTTGGGCCTTACACTTGTCTTCATGCCTGAATCTGTTTTATTTTCAGTTTCCTCTATTTGTCCATTTCCTAGTGGCTTTTTTTTCTAGTTTCTTAGTACCCAATGAACTAAATAGTTTTGAATCTTCATCTTCTTTCTTCCATTGTCCTTGGCATAGTTTCTTTCATTCTTAAATCTTTCTGCTCAAAGCCACTTTGTAAGCATTAGAGATTTTAGTGGTGTTTTGGCTAAAGTCTTTTACATACCAAAAAAAAACTCTGTTTTTTGCTCCTAATCTTGTTATCAAAAGTTTGATACTTGTCTGAAAAGCCCTTAAACAAATCTTCTGTGTCTCTACGAGCAGTGGTGAGAATTGGAATTGATACTATGGGGAGGAACACTGGTGAAATTGTTTCACATGCAGGCTCTGAGGTAAGTGCTGATAAATCAAGATCATTTTTTTCATTTACTGCAAGTATTATGAGCAAACAATTTGTAACAATCTTAATGGTAATATGAAAAACAAATTTGTGAACAAATAGGCCATGACGAAAGGAGGAGGTCAATTGAAAAAATCCCTTTTTGCTTCTATTTACAAACCACCAATAGATGATGGGAGACCAAGAAGCATGGTTATTAAGGTAAAACTTGAACCCTCTCAAAACCTCTTTTCTCATATTTGACTTCAGATATCTCAAATAAATCTGTATCTGATTTGAGTTTGCTTGCTTTGCTTGGTTAAACTTGCAACTACAAAACAGAAAGCACACAATATGATTCCTCCTCACATTGTAGCTGAAGCCATATCAACACTCCATGGTGATGGTGTGGAGCTCAGATTTTCAGGCCCTATTACTCCAACAGAAAGGGAATATGTTGAGCAGTATGTGTTGGCAAAGTACCCACAATATGCTGCGCTTGTTGAAGGAGAACAGTTTGATCTCTCTAGTATTTGCATCATTGAAGAATCTACTGAGACCATGCCTGATGATAAGAGGAAATCACCGAGGGGTAGTTTGAAGTCACCTAGGGAGTCCGCAACACAATTTGCCGGGAGCAACCTGCCTGACTTGGACAGGACTCAGTTGGAGCCATCGAGGTTGCTTGACATCCTCACCAAGAAATCCTCCTTCCCCGGAAGCTTCATCTCGATCCCCGAGATACAAGCTCAAAACAAGGTATTGAAGCACTGTGGATTGACTGATGATGAGTACCTTGTTCTCTTCACCCCAACCTACAGGGATGCCATGGTGTTAGTAGCAGAGAGCTACCCTTTCTTCAAGGGAAACTATTACTTGACCATTCTTGGGGAACAAGACTGCATAAAGGAGTTTGCCGGTTACAAGGAATCCAAAGTGATTTTGGCACCAGAGACTTGGTTGGATTTGAGGATCAAAGGTTCACAATTAAGCCAGTATTTCAGGAAGAAAAGTAAGCTCAAGGTCAAAGGGTTGTTCTCTTATCCAGTTTTTGCAAATGGGGTTCATCACTCACTACATTGGGTTTCCGAAGCTCACCGGAGCGCGTGGCATGTTCTTCTTGATGCAACCGAACTGGTTTTTGGGAAGGATCACTTGAATCTCAGGCTTCACAGGCCTGACCTTGTTCTGTGTAGCATTGACAATTCTCATGGCCAGACTTCAAAGATCACTTGCCTCTTGGTCAGGAAGAAATCCTTTGACACTTCAATGCCTTAGCCTCAAGTCAATGAATGAGGGCTCTTTGTGTGTTTATGTACGATATGTTAAACGGTTCTAAGAAACGCCATTAAGCAGTAACATTTTTTTAACTGTGGAAAAGGGAAGATGAACACGAACATGAGCGGGTTTAATCACTAAATTGAAATTTTAATTGATCGAAGTACAATAAAACTTATGAATGTTGTGAGTTTCTGAATATATATATATGCTGCACTTGAGTTCTCATCTCTGCAACTATTTTTTGTTCAGATTGGTATTTCATTCTTAGTAAACATTTTTGGCTAATGTACGTAATTTATGCAACTTTCCTTTCCTGCATCTTTGTTGTACAAGCTTTTGAAGCGAGTATTTGCATTGGATGCTTCTTTAACCATTTCAAAAAACCGAAATTGGAACGGTGTTGAGGTTGCCAGTAAAATGAGCTAAACTAATCCTGGCCATTTATGTTAAAAAGAAATGAAAAGACACTTGGAATGAGGTTCTAACTTGGTAAATTAAAGCAGAGGAATGCTTATGCAGGTTACATAACATAATAACGCACATTATGTACCTCACGTAGGAAAATATGTAGTGGGAAATGAAACTTGCCACGGATAAGAACATGACCACGCTTGTCTGCTTCTCAGATAACTCACAGAAGAGTGCGAGAAGCACCAAATGCAGGACAATAGAATAGGAACAATCCAGGGCCCCTGAAAGTATAAATTAGTTCCTCCAAGGTGCACAAAAATTTAGCATCTTGTGAGATGCGGTCATCAAAATGAAATTCAAGAGATTCAGGAGATCACATTAAGTTGGTCAAGCAGCATGGTTTCTTTCCACTTTATGTTAAGAAAAAGAAAGAGAACAACTTCATACTGAGTCTACTGGTACTATCCCTTAGTGTGTTTATGTACATTGAGATCACATATAATTTACTCTGACCAGTCTCAACAAGAACTCCAAAGGTTCATTTTGACAACCATTATGTTACATCCGCCAATATACAACAAAATGGGTACATAGTTTGGATAGTTAGCCCACCTTTGGAGGTTGATTTTCCACCTCATGTTCCTGAGAAGGGAAAAATAAGGAAATGCCAATGAAAGCTAAGGACTTATAGGGAACAAATTGCGGCAGAAAGATTTTTGCTAACCTAGAAATAATATCCTATGCACTAAGCATTCAAAAAAGAAAGGGTCACAAACACATACGCACAGAGAGCGAGAGGGAGATCTTAACCTCAGGAAGGACTTTAGCTTGAGAGAGAGAACTAAGTTGGCAGCTTTCCATGTTTTCGAGTAATTGGATTACAGTTTGCAGATGAGGAACACTGAAAAATTTATAAATGTTATCAGTAACAGAATCATATGAGCTTATATTTCTTAGAGGAGATATAACAACAAAAACATATGATGACACATCACAACTGTTAATTAAAAATATTTCTGATCTCATGAAAAAGAGTTGCTGCAGGCAAGGTGCTGATGCATGTAACTGTATGCCACAAAAGTTTTGTGAAAACGAAGCCTGCATGACTACAACCTTTGTAACCCACTTTCCATATGTGCATCCAGAGATGAAACTACTCGAGGCATCTGCTCCAACAACTGCATAAAAAGGAAAGGAATACAAGATGGGAAAATGAAATTTACATGGAATGTTAATAGTCAAGATCATCTTGGTGAAAAGAAACATACTTGTCCGGTATGCTTGATTGTAGATGTTTTGACCAAAAGGTTCTTTGGAAGCCTTATCAGTTGGGCCTGCATAAGAGACGAGATCAGAAATATAATAGGCCAGTGAGGCAAGGTCAATTTATGCTATTACACACATATTGCATAGTGTCTAATTACCTCATGTACCCAAATAATAAGATAAAAATTAAGGGTGAGAGTGAGTAATTCACCTTGCATTGGGACATATAGATATAGTTATATTACATGCCAGGAAAGTTGCAACAAGAATTTTCATGAGAGTAATCTAATTGATAACTAAGGGTATTCAAATATTATGATAACGGTGAAACGTGAATCATACCAAAAGCATGGATTTAGAAGAGTTACAGTGTCAGGCGGCATAGAAAAGTATAAGCAACCCTACCATATATAGAGACACAGTTTTACTGACCTTAGTAGTTATTTACCTTCTCATTTCTTATTCCTTTTGAAACATATTTCCATCTCTAACAACTCTATGCAGATTTTGACAAAATTAAGAATGAAGACTATCTCCAAGATTACAGCTTGCAGCTTCCTAATAAGAACTAATGCACCTCCACTCCAATCAGCCATCCCAGTGTATTTATTATATCATCACAGTTTCAACACCAAGTCATGGTAGGCCACGCACCCTCACCACAAACTAGAAGATAATTAACAAATTTTCAAAAGCAAGGAAATTCTGATTCCCTACTAAAGAAACCTGCTTATATCTACCCCACTCCTGTTTCACCAAAAATGTCCTAATAACACAGCCTCCAGAAACTCTTGCATTTCCTGCACATTCTAAATAAGCATTTCAGTCTTCCATTCATCCATCCACTATTTGTATCAGTTTTACAATCCTTCACCAGGAAGAATGTGTCTGATAATTTGGACATCAATTTCTAGTATTTCAGTTGTTTAGTGTCCAGATACATGTCCATGACCACATTCCTTTTCTTCACATTTTTTATAACAACATTTCTGTCTAAAAAAATTGTACTATCTTTGAAGTTAAATACCTGAGCCACATAGGAATCTCCTTCAAATTTTATGTTTTTAATACATTTCCCCTATTTTTTTCCTGATTAATCTTAATTTTACCAATCAAATCAGCCTCCGCACCTGGGATAACAAAAATAATTCTCTCTGTAATACAATCGCCCTCCCCAAATTTAACCAAAACCCAGTTCCCAAATTGATTTTATACTGAAATTTTTTGTTTAAAAAAAAGGACAAAGAAGACCCATTAAATCACTATTATCTTTTCCGACATGCATTTCTGATAGAAAATCTGAAAAAATAAAAGGTGGGAAACAGAGAGTAGGAGGATGCCTGGGAAGGAGAGGATTGTTGCATGAGGTGGAGGAGGTTGGAAGTGGACAGTATGGCCTGAGAGATCTGATCAGACACCAGGGCTTTTGCCGTATTCCCTCTGCTGCTTCTACCTGCGGTTGAGCTCGCCATTCTTCTCACTGTTCCTAGCTCTCGGAAGCGTGTCTTTATTTTATTTTTGAGAATTTAGCTAAAATAGCCCAACTTCACAACTTTTGTTCCAAACTAGCCAACATTGCATTACGAGGCACTATGACACAAAGGCCTTTATTTTTTATACAAATTTATAAATAAACCCAATCCTAGACATGTATTTATAAAAAAACTCAAGCACTATTTAAACATAGAAGCACACTCAAAATCAACCCAAAAGTTAACTTTTTGGGTGTGTTTATAAATGGGTTTTGAGTGTGTGTAATGATGGGTTTTGGGTGTGTTTATAAAGTGTTTTGGGTGTTGGGTTTTTTTATAATTTCAACCTCCATTTTGGGTGTTTTAGTGAAACTCCCTATTTTTTTTAGGTAATGGCGATGAGCTCGAAAGCGTCGTACAAATATAAATTCTTTTTAAAAAAATATATATATAAACGATCTTCTAAATTAATCTAATCTATAATAAAGAGAATTTGAACTTAGGTGCATGGGGGTCGAGTTCATCGCCTAGCCAACTAGTTACTGGCCTAACCCATGTCTACAAAATAGTTGCATTTTTACTCAACTATGTCATCCACTCATAATGAATTTAGCCACAACTAATTATCAAACTCATTACCATCCATGTGAACGAAATTTGAGACCATCTCAAATCAAGTGGAGAAAAATAACACTAAAAGAGTTTAATAACATGCATATGGATGGTTAGCTAAAGGCCACTTTATTTATTTATTTATTTTACTTAAACTGATTTTCAGTTACCAAATTTTCTAGAGTACTGCTATTTCCTATGTCCTAACCCATCTTATTTTTCCATCTATCATGTAAATTTGAAAAAACACAATCTTGTCCTAGTGTCGGAGATGTGCTTAGGCATATAAGGGCCTTAACCCTTCTAAAATTCTGAAATACTATATATTTTGGGCTTTGCATTGGATAACTTAGGATAATATATATTAAAATAATGCTTGTGACACCACACAATAAAGAGAATGAGGGATTTACGTTTCCCCTTCCAAATAAAATGCTATTTCCTTAACAAAATGACTAAGTTACTCCTGAATCCCACCAACATAATTAATAAAAGGCTTATTTATGGATATGCCCTCTGGGCTTTCAAAATAGTCCCAAATTACCACATGTTCTTTGAAATGTCTAATTATACCACCTATACTTTCAATAAGTGTCTCACGTTAGCTATTTCGTCAAATTTGAGAGAAGTTCTGTTAATTGATGTGGCCCCCACTTCTTTTCAATCTCTTAACAAGGGAGAGGAAGGGTTAGTCAAGTTGAGAAAATGAGGAATTTGGGAGAAAATGGTCCACAAAGTCTGCATCCGTGCTAACTTCCCATAATGACATTATTGGCCAAGCCTTGCTTCTCCAGTTCTATGTCTTCTTCAATTCTGTTAGTATTCACACAAAGAAGAAGCAGCTTTCAAGTGCAATGAACCCTATTCAAAGATTCGAGCACTTCTTTCAAGTGGAATGAATCCTATTCCTTCTCCCAAATCTGAAATCCCCGAATCGAATTCCCCTTTTTCTCCCAAATATGAACCTCTAGATTCCCAAATTTGAAATTCCTTCAACCTTCCCTTCTTCACCCAAATTCCCCCTTTTCTCCCAAATTCCCTCTCTCTCTAGACGTCCATTCTATTTTTTCAAATATTCTTAGCTAGATACCATTTTGCCCCTACATTTAACAGAAAAGTTAACAAAATTGATGACAAGATCATTGTTCTAACGAAAAGTTGAAGGACCACGATAACAATTTTGAAAATTGAGAGATTTAAATGCAAATCAGGTCTAAGTTCAGGGACTAATAAAACGATTAACCCACTAACGAATACATTAAGATTCAAAGAAATATATTTGGTTTTTCTTCTTTTCTAAAGATGGTGCATTGGAATATTTCAAAATTCCCCTTTTAATGATACAAAACAAGGAAAGTAGAGATTGTCATTACCAAGTTTGTACTTTTTCCTATATGTCAAGTTTTCATCATCATCAACACACTGTAGAACTTGGAAATTAATTAGATGACTTACTATATTAGATTTCTTTGACATTAAAACAACCCAACCCATTTGATCCTATAAATATAAGCCCAAAGGGCTCACTTACTCTAGTGAAAAGCAAACTTGAAATTTCATTCATATCGACCCAATGTGACAATAATAAAAAAAAGAACGAACCATGGAGAAAGCCCCATCTAAGATTGCTCTGAACTCGCTCGTCTTCTTCTTGGTTGTGGCAGGTGTATCATTATTCTCAATGTTGCCAGGAGGAGCAGAAACCACCATACTTGTTAAAAGATGTTCTACTAACGATGACTGCAAAGCGTTTCCATGTACTCCAAGCTCTGCACATGCCAAGTGGCCTATATTATTGATGACTCGATTGGAATCATACAACAAAATGAAAATGGGAAACGTTCGAGTGTGGCCGACTGCAAAGGAATTGTATGTATAGATGCAACACTCGAATGTGTTAATGGGGAAATGTAAATGCGTACGTACGCATTGATAAAAAGTTTCTTTTGTTCTCCTAGGCCATAACTAAAGCTACACGGTTATGTGACTGTGATCTCCCTCTAAAGAATAATAATAATAAATTGTGCCGAGCGCTGCCAAGCCACCCTTGAAACCACTCAGGTGCACTGTCCGGATCATTGGGGGCCGAAAGTATGATCCCTACTTCGCTGCTGGAGTCGCTGAAAATTGTGCAGAAACCCATGAAGGATGCAGAATATACAATAAGTTTTAGGTACAGTTCTTTCCAGGCGTTTTGGAAAGGTTAATATTTCAGAAGAGATATGTTGTAATTTATTTGGTTGCTGTGAAATGATAGCAAAAGAGAAAGAACAAAGCAGCTTGTTTTTCTATTCTATTATCCAATACAAATCTTTTACCAGAGTAGCATGAGTATGCACATTGACTAGTTGTGTGCATTTCATGCATGAGGCTTCTCTGGTAGCTCAGACCATAGATGTTCACTAATTTTTCTTACAACTACAGAGAAAACAAGACATCTGAAAATTTAAGATTTCTATAATAAATTTATTTACATACAGCAGTGCTTTTCAAAAGAACCAACAAAATTGAACCATTGAAGCATGGAGGGCCAGGACCACTGACAATTATTCTTTGTAGGTTTTCCCCTGTTCCGACTGATACTGATACAAAATATGAAATATCATATAATTCCATGCCGATTACATTATTATTACAGGCCTTTTTGCTAATAAAATCTTCCACTTAAGAATTTAACAAATGACATAACAGATAAAGGGAAAAAAAACCTCATACTCGAAAGTGTGCCTTGGAAAATTCAAAATCTTAGCCACTCTAGACATCTCTGCACCTCGCCATTAAATCAAGTAATCAATGACACACCAGAACTTTGTATTTCAAAATTTACAACTTAGAGGATATGCACAGTTGCGCAGACAGACAGATAGACAGACAGACAGACTGTTAAAGGCCGTTCAGGTATGTTTAAGTATAAAATGGGTTCTCTGTTCTGCTTGTCCAACTATTTTATAATTTTTAGTTTTATTATCAGGCCCTAACAATAAAGGAAAACCTTAAATTTGTGAAACACAACTGAGTTGAAACTCAAGCAAATGCCAACACAACAATTTACTTTTAGAGCAAAGTTTAGTTCATCAGTTTGTTTTTAAGCAACTCAGCATTACAAAACCCATAGTTACCTTTCCTTCCAAATTTTAGAAAGGTGCATTGACATTAGCTAACAATCAATGATTATTGACTTGTAAACCTTAACACAACTCTAATATAAAAAAATTAATCATGGCAATCAACTCAAGACTTGAAAAAAACATAAACTCCCTTCTCTTCATAAGAGATAAACCCCATTGATGCGATACTTACATGTTCCAACAGATTTCCAATGTTTAGTGATTAAATTTAAACTACCCTGAAAATTTAATTAAGGCAATCAACCCTGAAGACAGCAGAGATATAATTTACCTATACATTTCAAAGCAAATCAATAATTCTACAATACATATATCTCGAACCTTGCTAAATGGTAGCAGCCTTGATAGCTCTCTGCAATTCAGATTCCAAATCACTAGCAGAATCGGTGGACTTTTTTGCCTCCGTTCTCGCATTCTCTTCTCTGACTTTCTTCTTGTTTCTCCACTGTTCGAACCCGCCAGAAGTCTCATCCAAAGGAGGTGAAACTCTCTTCCCAACAGAATCACTCTCCCCTCTAAAATGCTTCCTAGAAACTCCCGACTTCATCTCCTCCAACCTGTGCTTCATCTCCTTATTTTCCTTCTCCATGACCTCCAAATCCCTTCTCATCCAAAAGCACATCCCCTTTAACAATTCCAAATCACCCACATTACTACTATCAGTACCCTTCTCCTCCTCTGCCTTTACCTCCTCAACTCTCTCAATACCGATTTTATTAAGTGTTAAATACGGCATTGCTTTGCCAAACTTGGGTGGAAGATTCACACCCCATCGCATATTCACCACCACACTTTTTGTCACTGGCAACACAGTCCTTGCCATCACAGCAATTCCAGAAAAAAGCCCATCTTTCCCACCATTTTTCCAAGCCAATGGCTTCTCTGCCACAGACCCACCATTCAAATGAGCTCCACAATTATCCCTAAATTCACTGTTCACAGCCCCATTTTTGCCACCGCAAGGCTCCAACCTAAGCTCCTGCCAAACAGATGACCCTTCAGAGACAAACCCAGAATCCAAATGGGCACCAACATTGGAGGCAGACCCAGAAATCTGTTTAAAATTAGGGTCTGAAAATGCGGTTTGTTTTAGGGAAAAGTTGCCAAATTGGGGCTTGATGTGGAGAGAGAAACTGGGGTTTGTGTGGGAGAGAGAGAAATTGGCAGTGAAAACAAGAGGGGAGTTTTTTGGGGAGCCAAAGAGGCCAAGACCAGACTTGAGGGAGAGAGAGAAAGGAGAGGGTGTGGTGGAGGTGTGAGAGTAAGAAAGTTTGACAGATGGCCCTGAAGAGAAATTGGATGAGAGAGAAAACGAGAGGTGAGAAGAAGATTTGGTGGGCATGGAGGTGGATGTGGTGGTGGAGGGGACGGTGGCAATGGAAGAAGTAAAAGGTTGGTTGAAGATGGTTAGAGGTACCTTTGCCTTTATCAGTGGGTTTTGCTGGTTTTGGAACTCTGGTTGGTCTTCTTGAAACCTGAGGGAGATCTTCATCTCTGTGTGTCTGTGATCAAGAGAATAGGTTTCCTTTTCGGCCTCTAAGGAGAGAGAGGAGCCGTTGAAGCAGCAGATTCTCGATTGCGTTAGCGAGTTCCTCAATTTCGGGGCAGCTGGAAAACAGTACCTCTGGGCCTTAAACTTCCAATGTTTTAGCCCTCGTGCTTGCTATTTTGTTGAGACTCTTTTATTTTTCCACCAAATATACACGTTGAGATTTTTATGCAAAATTCACTAGTTTTTTGGATAAGTCGTGTTAGGTGCTTCTCCAAATATCACTTTTATAATCTTAAAGCAAGTTAAGCAGAAAGCGTTTTTAGGGAAATACCGTAAAATATCATCAAGGCAAACTTACTTCTCCAAATACCATCCTTGGCTGGACATTTTTGGAATACCAAGTATAAATACATACCTTATCACTTTTTCTTCTCTCTCTCTCTCCTCTGCAACCAACAACACTCTCTCTCCATTGTCACTCTGCGACCACCACCACTCTCTCGATCTCTCTCTCGATCTCTCGAGACCCATCTCAGCCTCTCATCTCTCTCTTATGAATCGCAAAACCCACCATTGACCCCATCTTCTAGATCTCTCTTTCGAATCGCCTAAGTGAGTAGTTAGTTTGAACCTTGAAGCTCAACTCCATCGCCAACCTCCAATAGGTTGTCTTCTTGTATTCTTTTTGTGTTCTCTAAATCTTTGTGGGTTTCTATCAAATGGGTTTTGTCTTGATTGCTCTGGTTTCCTCTGTTTAGTCTTGATAGTCATTATCTTCATCCCTGTTCTCTCAAATTGGTTTTGTTTTGATTGCTTTGGGTTATCTGTTTTTAATGTTCATGCTCATTTTCTTTATCCATATGGGTTTTTCTCAAATGGATTTAGATTGCTCTGAATTTGTGAATCTTGGAACTTAAGATTTTCCATTTGATGTAGTAGATTTGTATTATCTAATTATGATGATTCTTTGTTTGAAACATCCAATGGATTTGTTCTTTGTCGATTGATTCTTGCATTTCATATTGGGATTTTCTTGTTTACTGTTGTTGTATTGCTGGTGGCTTCACATGTATTAATGAAATGATGTTTTATCACGCTAAAAAATAGAGACAATTGTTATTTTGGTTTGCTACAATGGAAAATGGGTAACCTCAAAGAAGATGTGCAAATACGAAGAAGGTAACTCAAAAGGCATAATAGTGCCATGTACCATCACATTTGCTTAACTATAATCTTATTTCTTATTTTAGTTTTTGATGGGTGACGGCTGGAAGGAGTCGGAATAGGGATAAGGGTTTTTTAATTTTAGTTTTTGAATACTGTAATCTTATTTCTTATTTTCTAAATTGAATTTTCAAATATTTTATTATAATTTTATGCCACATAAGAAAATAAAAGAATAAATTTGGAAAATAAAAGCTAGTTGGTCTCATTCATTAATGATATTGTTTTAATTGTAAGGAAAGTGATACATGTCATTACCAAAAGGGAGAAGGTTAGAGCACCTCCACCCCAAAAGGCAAGGGCAAGGCAAAGGCAAAGGCAAAGTAAGAGCATCTCCACCCACAAGGGCAAAGTCTAGGGCAAGGGCAAGCAAGGGCTGTTACTATTCACGTGAATAGTGTCAGCCTTTGCATTTGTGGTTCCACCCACAAGGGCAAAGTCTAGGGCAAGTCTAAGGCAATTACTATTCATTGTACTTTATTTTCAATTTTTTTATAGTTTAAACCATTAATTTTGATAATCTTTTGTAATTAAATTTTCGGATAAGATTTTCACCCTCTAAAATTGTGCCACGTCTGATGTAGAACAAATGTCAGATTTTATCGCTTGAGCTAGAAAAAGGACGTAGTGGGAATTTGCAGATTTGTCGTCCGAGCTCCGATTAGGACGCAAAATACCATTTCGGAAAGGGAACGACGCCACGAGTCAAACTCACAGGCTTTGCCGTGATGTATGATGGATTTTGGCATTTTGAGGTCGTTTGGCCTTCCAAAACGGCATTTAAAGTTTCGTAGTTAATTTTC